TGAGTTGGAGTCTCACTCTGTCACTCAGACCGGAGTGCAGTGGCCACTCCCGGTCATTGCAGCCTTGACCTGCTGGGCTCTGGCGATCCTTCCACCTCAGCCTTCCAGTAGCTGGAACCTACTGGCCCGCACTACCACGCCCTACTAATTTTTTGATTTATTGTACAGATGAGGTCTCACCAAGTTACCCAGGCGGGTCTCGAACCTGCGGGCTCAGACAATCCACTCACCTCAGCCTCCCAAAGCGTGGGATTACAGGCTGAGCCACTGAACCTGGTTTGAATAGAATTTTAAAGATCTTGTTAAATTTGGAAAATTTAGTATTTTTTAAAAAAACCGGTTTGACCGTTACTCAGAGAAAGCAATAATTCACACTCAGGTAAGAATTCTTCTTAGCTTCTTTCTTCCGGTAGGGACAAGAATGTTTTTCAGCCAGGCTCGGTGGCTCAGCCTGTAATCCCGCGCCTTTGGGAGGCTGAGGTGAGTGGATTGCCCGAGCCCGCGGGTTCGAGACCCGCCTGGGCAGCGAGACCTCATCTCTACAATAAATCAAAAAATCAGCTGGGCGTTGTAGCGCGCGCCTATAATTCCGGCTACTAGGAAGGCTGAGGCGGAAGGATCGCCGGAGCCCAGCAGGTTGAGGCTGTGGTGGCCGGGAGCGGCCACTGCACTCTAGTCTGGGCGACAGAGTGAGACTCCAACTCAAAAAAAAGAAAAAAAAAAAGAATGTTTTTCTTAGCTTTTTTCTGGTTCTTGCCTGTAGTTATTGAGAGTTGCAGTAAGCTCAGTTGCTGACACTCCAGAATTATAAAGTTAAACTTTAAACGGCCAGTGACACATAGTAGGTGACAAAATACGGACCAGGTGCGCCACAGATGAATTCAACCAATTGCCTTCATCACTAGGAGGTAGGGTTTGGTGTTCTGCGACTCTGGAGTTTTCTTTACTGAAATTTCTTTGAGAGCAGCTTAATTTTCAAGATGATGAAACTAATGTGTTTTCCTGTTTTTGGAGTAGGGGAAAATCTTTTCTCCAGTCTCCTACCGGTTTCCCTTTCTTTGGGGAGTTCTTCTGCCATATGGGAATTTTCTTCTTGGAGCCCACGCTCCGTGGAATGATAGAGCCTTCTTGCAGACTTTTAACGTGGCTTGTGGACATTCTGGATGGACCGTGTAGCAACAGTACTGATGTCAGTCCGGCCTGTGTGCGCAGACTGTGATGCCACTAAGTCACTCAGCTTAGCTTATGTTAGATATGGAAGCCGGCAAGGGTGATATGGGAATCAGGCCTTAAACTCGATGGCCTACATTTTTGCTCTGTTTTCAATTTCACCTAATTTACTGAAGTTAGTCTTGGCACCTTTCAAGCAAGTGATGCCAAATCTGAAACTTTAATATGGAGTTGGACCATAAAATACGGGTTTGTTTTTTCTTTTCTTTTTTTTTTTTTTGAGTTGGAGTCTCACTCTGTCGCCCAGACTGGAGGGCAGTGGCCGCTCCCGGCCACCACAGCCTCGACCCGCTGGGCTCCGGCGATCATTCCGCCTCAGCCTTCCGAGCAGCTGGAACTACAGGTGCGCGCTACCACGCCCGGCTGATTTTTGATTTATTGTAGAGATGAGGTCTCGCCAAGTGGCCCAGGCGGGTCTTGAACCCGCGGGCTCAGGCAATCCACTCACCTCAGCCTCCCAAAGGCGCGGGATTACAGGCTGAGCCACCGAGCCCGGCTGTTTTTCAAAATTAGAATTCAACTTTCGATTTTTTATATTTTACTGGCCTTTAACTTCAGTAAAACACCACCCACAAAATGGGAATTTATTACTATATATTAATGAAATTTGTCCTCTCATATTTTCTGTAACTTCATTGTTCACAGTTAAGCTTTAAAAAGTATCGAATAGGGTTGCTACCGTCCAAATAAGGGTTTCAAACTCATTTCTATTTTCTGTTTCAGTAAATATTTTTCATATCGCTTGTTCTCATCTATCTTTACCTGATTTCTTCCTCTATTTTCTTAACTTTCTTTTCTTTCTTTTCTTCTCATGAAGATTCTGCTTTCTTCATCTAAACCTGTCCCCAAAACCTATGTACCAAAACTTGGCAAGGGCGATGTAAAGGATAAGTTTGAAGCCATGCAGAAAGCCAGGGAAGAAAGGAATCAACGGAGATCTAGAGACGAAAAGCAAAGAAGAAAAGAACAATATATTAGAGAGAGAGAATGGAACAGGAGAAAGCAGGAGGTCATTTTATTTTACGTTTTGCTTGGAAAAGTATTTTCATCTTGCTTTGACATTTTATGTGTTACTCACGTTCACCACCTTTCATATGAACTATCACTAAAACACTCCCTTGTATTTGTAGCCTCACTGAAACTGCAAATAGAGTGATTTGGTCTAACTTTTGGACATGTTAGCTTCTTTAACCATACTCGCTTCTTTAACATCTAGATGAAAGAAATGCTTGGTTCTGATGATGAGGGAGAGATGTCTTCTAAAGTAGAGAAGGCTTATGTCCCAAAGCTAACAGGTAAGAAATGTGAGGGATGGTTGTTACGGGAAGTTCCAAAAGAAGAAATGCAGCCAAGCATCAAACGTGTTTCTCATATATTCTTAGGAACGGTTAAAGGTAGATTTGCTGAAATGGAGAAACAAAGACAAGAAGAACAAAGGAAGAGAACAGAGGAGGAACGGAAGCGGAGAATCGAGCAGGACATGTTAGAAAAGAGGAAAATACAGCGTGAACTTGCAAAAAGGGCTGAGCAGGTATCCCTAAATATTAAGCTGGTCTTTGTTTGGGAAACGAACTGTACGGAGTAAAACTAATCAGTGTGCTGCCTAATTAAAATATTTTAACATGACATAAACCTATGAAGCAGCAGCTAACCTGAAAATGAGATCTTTCATAAAAATATCGACTACCAGATGTCCAGAAGGGTCAAAGCAGGCTATGCCTATTTTGAGGTAGAATATTGAGATGATTTTTGTTATATGTGATCTTATCATTCTGTCCACATTCCACACACTGTCCACATTCCTTACTTTTGTTACTTTTGTCTCTATGTTGAAGGATTTAAAAAATTATTTAAAAAACTTTTTCTCCACTGTTCGTACATTGAAGGATCAAAGGATTTTACAAAGTCGTAAGGCAACTTCACACATTAAGTATCACAGGTATCTAACAAAATGCTGATCTTTTAATAACAATTCTTTTTTAAAATTCATTTTTATTTTTATTTTTTTTTGAGTTGGAGTCTCACTCTGTTGCCCAGGCTGGAGTGCAGTGGCATGCTCACAGCCACCCCAGTGTCAACCTGCTGGGCTCCGGCGATCCTTCCGCCTCAGCCTTCCAAGCAGCTGGAACCACAGCGTGTGCCACTACATCCAGCTAATTTTTTGATGTATTGTAGAGACAAGGTCTTGCCAAGTTGCCCAGACTGGTCTCGAACCCCTGGGCTCAGGCAATCCTTTTGCCTCAGCCTCCCAAAGTGCAGGGATAACAGGTGTGAGCCACCACACCCAGCTCCTAACAATACTGGGTTTTTTTTGAGTTGGAGTCTCCGGCGCCCAGCTGGAGTACCATGGCATGCTCACAGCCACCCCAGCCTCAACCTGCTGGGCTCCGGTGATCCTCCCACCTCAGCCTTCCAAGTAGCTGGAACTACAGGCACACGCTACCATGCCCAGCTATTTTTAATTTTATGGTAGAGATGAGGTCTTCCCAAGTTGCCCGGGCTGGTCTCGAACCCTGGGGCTCAGGCAATCCACTTGCCTCGGCCTCCCAAAGTGCTGGGATGAGAGGCTGAGCCACCGAGCCTGGCCGACGATACTTTAAAATGCTGGCCTTTTAAAACAAAACATAAAGTGCCATCCATCAATTTGCTAGGTTCCTTTGTGGCCACTACCTTTCTGAAAAGAAAAGTTGTAATGAAAGTGAAGCATATGCCATAATTGCATGCCAAAGAAATGTATTCGCCCTGGATTTGCAAACGACGCTAGTAGTCACTTGTACTGTGGCACATAATGACTCATGCCAGGTGAAATATAAGAAAGAATGGGAGTTTTCTATGTTTTATTACTTTGTGCCTCCTTATCTGAGGAAAGGATGCTCTGTGCTTTATCGTTGCCACTGACCGTCATGGAAGATTGGCTTTAATTCTGGGGTGAAACATGACGAGGCAATAAAATTAACATATATGGGATCGAAAACTACATGCTATAAATAGGAAATACATAGTTACTTATAATGTATTATAAACTATAAGATAAAGAGATAGAATTATAGTATAAGGTATCATTAAAATATATGGTGTTGGGCAGAAAACACTGAGAATGCCCATGGATTAGTCTGTGTCTCTCCAGTCTTGGCTCCTCTTCAGCACTGAGTATTTTCTAGGCAGTAAAGCCCACGGCAGCCCCCAGAATGGCATATGTAGACAGTGGTTTCTCAAAGAAAAACTGTTCAAGTGATGAGTTTGAATATGATATAGACATCGGATTTTCAGACAGATGGAAACAACATATGGTAATGAAAAAGAACTACTTTTTTAGTGACTCTAAATACTTCCTACATGGCAGAGTGCCGTTGAACCTTGGTTAATGATATTTTCAGCCTATTAAATTATTTAAGATAGCCAGGCGTGGTGACTCACACCTGTCATCCCAGTACTTTGGAAGGCCGAGGTGAGAGGATTGCCTGAGGCCAGGGGTTCGAGACCAGGTTGGGCAACTTGGCAAGACTTCATCTTTGTAATAAATAAAAAAATTAGCCGGGCATGGTGGCACATGCCTGTGGTCCCAGTCACTTGGAAGGCTGAGGCGGAAGGATCCCCTGAGCCCAGCAGATCGAGGCTGTGGTGGCCATGTGCGTGCGCCACTGCACTCCAGTCTGGGTGACAGTGAGACTCTGACTCAAAAAACAAAAAATAAATAAATAATGTAAGACTACGTAGGTAGAGCAAAGTCAACTATTAATAGTAATTTTATCCTATAAACAGGCAAAGTCGAAATTTAAAATCTAAGTACATCTTCCACTCTAATGTAACGTGTCTTTGGACATAAGGAGAAAAGCATGGCATAGGTATCAGGAAGAGTCAACGCTTGTTTGCAAAATCTGCTTGTTTGAATCCACATGCGAGAATGATGCAAAAGGTACTGCTGAGTCGGGGGTAGCTGAATATGCCACGAACTGCCAGGATTCTGAGCTCCTGGGATCTTGTCGTGAATCAAGAGCGAGTGTGCCTTGTATACTGGATCTTGACTTCAAAGGCCAATACGATGTGGGAGGAGTCTTGATTGGGTCTCGTCCACTTATCTTGGAGGCTGCTTTGATGGGCGGTGTTAATGTCCATCCTTTTAGAGAAAAAAGAGGTTATTGGTGGGGGAAGGGGACGTTGAGAAAAGAGGGGAGAAAAGGAAGTTGATAGGAGAGGAAGCAGAAGGAGTTGCTTTCCTGTAAAGCAAAAGAAATTAATTGGAAAGCAGTCCTTCAGTGGCAGGGCTGAAGATCACCACTGTTGCGGAACTGAATGTGTGTTCTTTGTGAATATGCTGAAACCATGGCCACTTGGACAGAGTTATCTTTTTCCTTGTTTGTTGAGGAAAAAAAAGCATTTTTCTATCTTTTGTGGTTTTGTTAATGGTTTAAAATTAGCAAAGAAAAAGCAAAAAATCTCTAAATATACTTTTTTTTTTTGAGTCAGAGTCTCACTCTGTTGCCCAGGCTGGAGTGCAGTGGCACGCTCACAGCCACCGCAGCCTTGACCTGCTGGGCTCAAGTGATCCTTCCACCACAGCCTCCCAAGTAGCTGGAACTACAGGCACATGCCACCACCCCTGGCTAATTTTTTGTGATTTATTGTAGAGATGAGGTCTCGCCAAGTTGCCCAGGCTGGTCTCGAACCCTTGAACTCAGGCAGTCCTCTCGCCTCAACTTCCCAAAGTGCTGGGGTTTACAGGCTTGAGCCACGGCGCCCAGCTAAGGGATTTTTTTAAGACAAGAGTGTTGCTCTGTCGGCCAGGCTGGAGTGCAGTGGTGCAGTCATAGCTACTGCAGCCTCCAACTTCTGGGCTGAAGCGATCCTCCCACCTCAGCCTCCTGAGTAGTTGGGACTACAGGAGCACATCACCACGCCTGGCTCATTTTTCAAATTTTTTGTAGAGATGGTGTCTTCTTATGTTGCCCAGGCTGGTCTCAAACTTCTGACCTCAAGTGATCCCCCCACCTCAGCCTGCCAAAGGGTTGGGATTACCGGCATGAGCCACTGTGCCCGGCCCCAAATAAATGTATTTTTAATAAACTGTTTCTTCAGAATTTATTTATCAAAAAATTGAGTATCTTAATAACATGCATTATTTCTTCCTTGACAGAGAATACAGAAAACTGGGGTGATGGGAGAACCGGGACTCAGCTAGCCCAGTCTTAGTACCAGCCAGGGGGCAACAAAATTTCCTTAGACTGCCTGAGGAACTAAGTGCTTCCAGATTCTTTCATTGGTTATAAAAATCAAAGCAATAAGTAATCTGAATTCTTACTTTCTAAGAGTTCCCATTTTTCTTCATTTTTTTTTCCTTTTTTTGAGTTGGAGTCTCACTTTTGTCACCCAGGCTGGAGTGCAGTGGCACGTTCACGGCCACCGCAGCCTCCACCTGCTGGGCTCAGGCAATCCTTCCGCCTCAGCCTTCCAAGGAGCTGGAACTACAGGCACACGCCACCATGTCCGGCTAGTTTTTGTGATTTATTGTAGAGACAAGGTCTCACCAAGTTGCCCAGGCTGGTCTCGAACCCGCGGGCTCAGACAATCCTCTCGCCTCAGCCTCCCGAAATGCTGGGATGACAGCCTGAGCAACCGCGCCCAGTTGAGTTCCCATTTTTCTTTTCTTTTCTTTTTTTTTGAATTGGAGTCTCACTCTGTCACCCAGAATCCAGTGCAGTGGCCGCTCCCGGCCACCGCAGCCTCGGCCTGCTGGGCTCCAGCGATCTTTCCGCCTCAGCCTTCCAAGTAGCTGGAACTACAGGCGTGAGCTAGAGTTCCCATTTTCCTACTGCATATGCTTCCTTGTTCTAAGATCTCTTTCCTGCCTTCCTTCCATTTTTTGAGTTGGACTCTCACTGTCACCCAGGCTGGAGTGCAGTGGTACACTCAGGACCAGGCTGCCTCGACCTGCTGGTCTCAAGTGGTCCTTCCGCCTCAGCCTTCCAAGGAGCTGGAAATACAGGTGTGCGCACCACACCCAGCTAATTTTTAAATTTATTGTAGAAATGAGGTCTCGCCATGTTGCCCAGGTGGTCTCGAACCCTTGAGTTCAGGCAATCCTCTCACCTCCACCTCCCAAAGTGCTGGGATTACAGGCATGAGCCACCGCACCCGGCAACATTGCTTGATTTAAATCACCTATCTTCTCTCAGTTCTTAGTGTGTTCCGAACAGGGCATTTGGCTTCCCTCAGACTAACCTATGAGTAATGACCAAATGGAGCTCCCACTTTTTAAATGAGGATCTTCTCTTCTTAGATCTGGTCCAAATACTGAGAAAACATTCTGACTGCCAGCATTGTTTCCCCTTCTAAACTAGCCTGTGTCTTTCACTGCATTTTGTTATTGTAGCCATTTATATTGTTGTCATAGAATTATGTTGTAAAATATAATCATGACAATTACTTAGCTGCTAATTACAGGTTTTCCTTTTGCTGGGGCAGGGATCGAGACTAGAGAAATGTTTCTGTGTCTCCTTTTAAATTGCTAATTAAATTAATAACTGCTGCTTATAAGCTTACAGCCTGGTCATAAGAGTTTGATCCATTGTTCAATGTCCAGATTTACAAAGGTAGGCTTTATCTTAATTTTTTCTTAATATGCTGTTTCCTGGATATCGGTGTTGATATCATATGCAACAACAAACTTCAGATTGAATCTCCAATCCAATAGGCATATTTGGCTAATTTGGAGCAACATAAAAATATTTCAAAAATTATAATTGAAAAAATTTACCATAAGTCACCACTAAATTACTTTTCGCTTGTATGTTTAAAAGCAAAAGCAGAAATCCGATGAAATGTAATGATATGAAATTCTCATTCAATAGACTGAGGACATAAACAGAACGGGAACTGAATCAGCATCAGAGGTAAACAGACATTTCCTTTAATGAAACATTCGCCTAAAATCATGATTTACAAATTATCTTTTCATCTAAGAAAAAAATGAAAAGGGCTTTATTTTACTCTCTTTTTCTTATGAACAGAGCAATAGCAACAAAAGAGAGATCATACTTTTGTGCTTTCAGACATGACAGCTTAGTGTTTTTAAAGAAGAGTATGTTTTGTTTTCCCAGTTAGAGTAGAAAGACAAGTCTCGTTAGTCTCAGTTTGGGGTCGTCTGCCTCGATGATCTATTTCTTGAGCTGTTACTAACAAGTTGAGATTGTTGAAAGCTAACATTTTTAAGAGGCCGCTTTCTTTTCATAATTTCTCTTCTTTCCTCAAGGTCCCGAGTGTTTGTGTGTTCGTTTTCACATCCTAATCTAAAATGTAGTATCTGTTACCATAAGGGAAGTTTCAACAACCACAAAAATTTTAGTCATCCCTTTTTATTTCACAGTAAGTTAAAAATCATTCAAACAATTTGATGGTGTGCCTAAAACTACAGCCACATAAACTGGGAGAAGCTTTATCTTAAGGGCATGAATTATATTTTATAACTCATAGTTTTGGAAAAAAGTCGGAGGCAACCATAGATTATGTAATGGAACGAAAATGAATTCAAAATATTTAATAGAATCAATTACCAAAGAGTTTTATCTACAATATAAATGTTTCATAAATCACTTGGAAATATCGTGGTTTTTTTCTAACATCAGTTGTAATAAGTATATGAAAGCCAGCATGGGGAGAAAACTCATACGAAGAAAACCCTTCGGGGTGCTTAAACTGAATCAATCCACCATCAAATTGACTTAGCGCATGCTCACATGCATATTATCTTTTGTGGGATCGGTGCACGGATTGCTACATTCAGGCAGCTTCACTCAGGTTTTGTTATCTAAACAGCTGTATTAACCCCATCTTCTAGGAAATAGAAGGCTTCTTGAACTTTGGCAGCAATAGATTTCAATAAGATTAACTCAGCGCACAATGAATTTGCAGAAGGAAATATTTCATAGTCATCTGTCCAAAAAAACCATAATTCTTTGTTCTTCATGATAACATTGATAGCCATGTAACGGAATTCACCAAGGATGGAGGTGAGTCCCATGAAACGAAATTTTGGCTAAGAGGAAATATGCTAATTATCTGTCTTATGAACTAGGAAGGAGATGATTCTCTGCTGATAACAGTGGTGCCTGTCAAATCATGCCACACGTCTGGAAAGATGAAAAATAATTTTGAGGATCTAGCAAAGGAAGGCGGAGAGGAAGGAAGGCTGAAGCATGAGGAAGACAGAAGAGCCAGAGGCCACGGACAGCTGCGCCCTCTCAAGGAGGCCGGGAGCCTTTCGTTGGTCAGGGTCATGGCTTTGAAGGCAGCTTCGTTGAGGCCGTTAGCAGCATCTTCCTTCATTGCTCAACGGTGGGTTTTTGTATTCTTTCTTAGGAGGACGAACTGGAGAGTGTGGCCAGACAGGAAGCCCTTTCTCCTGGAAAACTGAAGCTCACTTTTGAAGAATTGGAGCGCCAGAGACAAGAAAGCCGAAAGAGGCAAGCTGAAGAGGAAGCCCGGCAGCGCCGGGAAGAGGAGAAGCGAGCTTTCGAAGAAGCCAGGCGGCAGATGGTTCGTGCGCGGGTTCAGACCTCACACTCGGCGTTAGGGAAGGGTGCCGACGGGAGATAAGTTCGTGGCCATCCACGCACAGAGATTTGATACACAGAAGGGCCTGATTTTGAAATTGTGTCTTCAGTGCTCGTATAAATATACCCCGATTGTTTTCCTAGTTTCCACTCTTGGGCCACTTTACTCAATATGCTTTACATTTTCATTTTTTAATTAGTTAATTTATTTATTTTGAGTCGAAGTCTCACTCTGTCGCCCAGGCTGGAAGGCAGTGGCACACTTCCAGCCACTGCAACCTTGACCAGCTGGGTTCAGGTGTTCCTTCTGCCTCGGCCTTCCAAGTAGCTAGAACTACAGTCAAGCACCACCACGCCCAACTAATTTTTTTGTTGTTGTTGTTACTGTAGAGACAAGGTCTCGCCAAATTGCCCTGGGCTGGTCTGGAACCCTCAGACTCAGGCAAACCTCTCACCTCAGCCTCCCAAAGTGCTGGGATTATAGGCTGAGCCACTGAGCCCAGAGTCTACTTTTTAAAAAATTTAAAAATTATTATTTATGGGGGGGGTGGGATTGGCAGTTGAGGGAAACTGCTAGGGCAGGGAGGGGCATACCTTATTAACAGGAGTACCTGCATGATCAATGTTTGTGTACCTAACCCTGAATTGTATTCCAACACAGTGAGACACCAGCTCGAATATTTAAATAAAATATTTAATAATAATAATAATTAATAAATAAATAAGATTTTTATTTATTTACTTTAAAGATGTGGGGTACAATTCAGGATTAGGTAGATAAGTGGTGAAGATCGTACAGGTGAAATTTGGGCCTCCCTTTGGCCCCCACTTTGCCTGGTTTGAGATCAGGTATCCTTACTGATATTGTGTGCCCTTCCCTCCCCTGGCAGTATCTACTTCTTAAATGTTTAAATGAGTTAATATTTAGGAAGCACGTAAAATAGTGTTTGGCCTATACTGTGCTTCAAAAATGTTAATTATTACTGTTGTTAATAGATTTATGAATAAAAAGTAAAACTGAAATAAGAAAACACTGATGGCAAATCTCATTTTAAGAATTTAAAAATGGGGCTTTTTTTTTTTTTGAGCTGGTGTCTCCCTGTGTTGCCCAGGCTAGAGTGCAGTGGCATGCTCATGGCACACTGTAGCCTCGACCTCTTGGGCTCAGGCAATCCTTCTGCCTCAGCCTCCCGAGTAACTGGGACTACAGGTATGTGCTACCATGCTTGGCCAATATTTTGGATTTTTTTTTTTTTTTTTTGTATGAGATGAGGTCTTGCTATTTTGCCTAGCCTGGGAACACTTATAATGTTTAAAGTTATGAAAACTTTCTTGATCAGCTTTCATGAATGGTGCTCTAAGAATTATATCTCAAAGATTTTAATTTCCTGGACATTTATTTGAAAATGTTAATTTATCTGAAAATGTTATTTTTGGGTAATTATAGTTGCATAGCGCTTACACAATTAGATATTACTTGTGGCCAATTTGATAACTAGAAATATTATTAATTAAATAATACATGACAATCCTGTAATTAATAAATTAAAACCTTAATTATAAAATCAGAAAACTTGAATGTTTATATAAAATAGTTCTACATAATACTCTTTGATCAGTGTAAGGAAAAACACCACAGTTCATAGGTGGGAGGATTGCCTGAGCCCACGGATTCGAGAACAGTCTGGGCAACTTGGCAAGACCTCATCTACATGAAATCAAAAAATTAGCTGGGCAAGGTGGCGTGCACCTGTAGTTCCAGCTACTTGGAAGGCTGAGGTGGACGGATCGCTGGAGCCCAGCAGGTTGACGCTGGGGTGACCGTGAGCGCCACTGCACTCTAGCTTGGGTGATGGAGTGAGACTCCAATTCAAAACAAAAGAAAAGTCCATGAAATTGACAAAATGAGAACTTTGTTTTACTGCCAAAAAAATTCTGTGTGGGTGTACTTGAACCTCAATTAAAGTACACACACACATTTTATGTTCTGGGGAAGTTTAGTGTTCAAGCGAGACCTCTTTTAACATATTTATATATTCCGACTTATCTATACAAATCTGACTCACCTGGGAAGTTTTACTTACCTTGAATACATCTTTATCTGAAATGTCCCCAAGTCTGAATATTTATCCTATGAGACATTAAGAAGGAAGGGGATTCTGGTGACGTCTGCTAAGGGCGTTGAAACATCTGTGTGAGGCAGCTGGTTCTGTATCTTCTGGCTGCTAAGTGGCTCCTCTTTTTAACGAATCTCATTTCTTAGCCAAGATTTGTTTATGTGTCCAGGCAAACGAGGAGGAGGAAAACGACAACACAGAGCACATGCTTAAAGGCTGTCGCCCTGGCAAACTCAGACTCAGTTTTGAGGAAATGGAGAGGCAAAGGCGAGAAGACGAAAAAAGGAAGGCCGAGGAAGAAGCCAGGAGGAGGATGGAGGAGGAGAAGAGGGCGTTTGCCGAAGCCCGGAGAAGCATGGTAAGGCAGAGCCTCGCAGAATGCGTTTGGATCCAGCTGCTGAGTGCACGCAGGGATGTCCTCAGGCGCTGGGGACACCCTCGTGTTTCTGGAAGATGTGCCTCGAGTAGAAATGGCAAACAGGCTTTAACGTCTCCCGTGGAATGACATGTCGGTTGAAGGTGTTTGCTGCAATTGAGTGTTGAGAAGGTTCTGGTTAAATTGCCATGCCTGGCATAAGAGATCGTTTTCCTCCTCTGGGAAGGCATGTTTTCTAGAGCTGAGTATCTAAGATAGAAGCAGGGAGGGCCAGGTGTGGTGTTCACACCTGTCATCCCAGCTCTTTGGGAGGCTGAGGCGAGAGGATTGCCTGAACCCAGGGGTTCGAGACCAAAGCAACTTGGCGAGACCTTGTCTTTATAGTAAATCAAAAGATTAGCTGGGCATGGTGGCATGCACCTGTAGTTCCAACTACAGGAAGGTTGAGGCAGAAGGATCACCTGAGCCCAACAGGTAAAGAGGCTGGGTGACAGAGTGAGCTCTCGACTCAAAAAACAAAACAAAACCCAGAATTAGAGAATCATTTTTTCATGCTAAAATTAAAATATATTCGAAGTCAGCAACTTAAAATCAAAGCTTCTATTTGCATGTCAGGGGTTGCCTTTATACAGGGGATAATATAATAATAAAACGTCCTTAGCTGGAATTATAGGCATCCCATCTACTTGGGAGGCTGAGGTGGGAGGATCCTTTGAGCTCAGGAGTTAAAGACCAGCCTGGGCAACACAGCAAGACCCCATTTCAAAAAAAGGAAAAAATTAAAAAATAAAACCACCTTTTAGAGTTTACCATGGTGTTATACAATGCTAAGTGTTTCTAAATTTTATTTAATCCTCATGACAACTCTGTGAAAGTTGTCACAGATAAGGAAACTCAGAGAGGCCTAAGGTCTTAGCTATATGGCAGATTGTTACTTAAATTATTAATGTAAATTCATGAAATTACAAAAAGGTAGTCTAGGTTATTATTTATAACCTTATTAGAAAGACTTTGAAGTTTGAGTCCCAGCTTTGCCACGCAGTATTTGTGTTGACTTTGCATAAGTTACTTTTCAGTGTCTGTTTCCTTTCTGTAAAACGAGGGTATTAATAATACCTACTTTATAAGGCTACAGGATTAAGTAAATTAATACATGTAAAGTGCTTATAACTGTCCCTGGCAGCTCAAAGTAAGTATTAACCATTATTATTTCTTTAAAATTAGCCTGACAGTAAGTAAACAGATCAGCCTGGGAAGCTTGTCAAGACCTCATCTCTGTATCAAAAAATTAGCCAGGTGTGGTGGCATGCGTCTGTGGTTCCAGCTACTTGGAAGGCTGAGGCAAAGGATCGCCTGAGCCCAGCAGGTCGAGGTTGCAGTGGCTGTGAGCGTGCCACTGCACTCCAGCTGGGGTGACAGAGTGAGACTCTGACTCAAAAAAAGAAAAGTGACTTTTGTCTGATTATGAAGAGATCATTATGGATTATCTAAGCAATTCAGATAGAGCATGACTTAACTGAAGTGTTCTATTTTAATTACCAGAACAGAGATTCTTTTTTATTTTTCTTTTTGAGTTGGAGTCTCACTCTGTTGCCCAGACTGGAGTGCAGTGGCCGCTCCCGGCCACCGCAGCCTCCACCTGCTGGGCTCCGGAGATCCTTCCGCCTCCGCCTTCCGAGTAGCCGAAATTCCAGGCCTGCGCTACCACGCCCGGCTGGTTTTTTGATTTATTGTAGAGATGAGGTCTCGCTGCCCAGGCGGGTCTCGAACCCGCAGGCTCAGGCAATCCACTCACCTCAGCCTCCCAAAGGCGCGGGATTACAGGCTGAGCCACCGAGCCCGGCTGTGAGATTCATTTTTTAAAAAGCCTCAACACTTTAGTTTATTAAAGTTTTTTTTTTTTTTTCTGAGTTGAAGTCTCACTGTGTCACCCAGACTGGAGTGCAGTGGCTGCTCCCAGCCACCGCAGCCTCGCCTGCTGGGCTCCGGTGATCCTTTCGCCTCAGCCTTCCGAGTAGCCGGAATTACAGGCATGCGCTACCACGCCCGGCTGATTTTTTTGTTTATTGTAGATGAGGTCTCACTGCCCAGGCGGGTCTCGAACCCGCGGGCTCAGGCAATCCACTCACCTCAGCCTCCCAAAGGCAAGGGATTACAGGCTGAGCCACCGAGCCTGGCTATTAAAGTTTTTAATATGGGAAAAATATGCACCTGGAAGGTGAACCCTCTATAAGCTTATTTGTGTCTCCCTCAAAATAATAGCAGTGGTTCTTTTTTTTTTTTAATTTTTTTATTTTAAAGATGTGGCAGAGATTCATTTTAAACCACTTAAAAAATGCTTCTCAATATTAGAAACTTTTAATGTCTAATGCAAATTACTCATCGTGTAAGTGGAAGTTTTTTTGTCTGTTCATTGTGATGGAGAAAAGATGGCTACCATTTCTTCCATAACCACAAAATACTCCGGTTTTACATTCCTGCCTTGTTTGGCGTTGATTTAAGTCCCCTGCTTTTTGGTTCACTGTGCATGTGTCCTATCACTCTGGGAGAGTGACACAAGAATTATTTTCAATAGGTTGTAGACGACGATTCCCCAGAGATGTATAAAACAATGTCTCAAGAATCTCTTACACCGGGAAAACTGGAAATTAATTTTGAAGAATTACTGAGACAAAAAATGGAAGAAGAAAAGCGACGAACAGAGGAGGAACGGAAGCACAAGCTTGAGATGGAGAAACAGGAGTTCGAGCAACTGAGACAGGAAATGGGAGAGGTAGGCATTTAGGAAACAGCGACTTACAGTCCTCATATTTACCGAGCTAAATGTTATACTTACGTATCACCTTACGAACGCAGGACACCCAGTTAGTGCTGAGGATTTACTTGATGCAGGCTGCAGCACATTTATGTGGACTTTCTGGTCTCTATAACTCTACTCCTTCCTGGCTAGTCTGATTTAAAAAAAAAATTTAGGTTTGCAAGTGACTGAGGTGTTACTATTGCATCTTAAGCAAACATAATAGATATTTCTTCCTACCTCATAATTAGGTTAAGAATACACCATGATTGAGAACTGTTGTGCTAACAGTTTTTGTTTTTTTTAAAGTTAGGATCTTGGCCAGGTGTGGTGGCTCACGCCTATAATCCTGGCACTTTGGGAAGCCGAGGTGAGAGGATTGCCTGAGCCCACGGGTTCGAGACCAGCCTGGGCAACTTGGCAAGACCTCGTCTTTACAATCAATCAAGAAATTAGGCGGGTGTGGTGGCGGTCACCTGTGGTTCCAGCTACTTGGAAGGCTGAGGCGCGAGGATCGCCTGAGCCTAGCAGGTTGAGGCTGCGGTGGCCATGAGCCTGCCACTGCACTCCAGCCTGGGTGACAGAGGGAGACTCTGACTCAAAAAAAAGAAAAAGAAAAAAAAAAAAGGAATCTGAGCTTTAGTGCTCTGTGGTTGCTATCTTGAAATTCTCAAGATTTATCTTCGAACTTGTGTGTTTGGAAAGAAAAGCAATTGGGCATGCCCTAGGGCTCTGGAGCCCTGACTCCCCAGTGTCCTGCTGTCTCCTTGACTCCCGACTAGCCTCATCCTTCCCGTCCCTGGATGCTGCGCCGTGCCTCTGGGTGGCCTAGGTGTGTGCGCGGGTCTCACTCACAAACAGGGGCCGTGTCAGTGTGGAGTCCCGTGACTTGAACTGGCAGTGCCATGGCATGTTCGGTAGGCGACATGATGGGGCCCTCTTGCCAGCTTCTGGTCTAGGAACCGAGTGGGCCCCTCTGCAGAGAAGGTGCAATCCCTTGGGAGTTGCCTGCTGTCACGGGCTGTGGTGCTGGGCCCATGGGAAGGGGCGATCCTTCCGCCTCAGCCTTCCAAGTAGCTGGAACTCTAGGCCCGTACTACCATGCCCAGGCCGTGAATGGCAAATTTTCAAGTTGGCTCTCAGTATACAAACGCCGCATAAATGAATGAATACAATACCATGAATGTTCTGGAAGAAAATATTCTACAGTCTAGCCTTCTCCTTAAGCTTCTCCTCCCAAATTTAGTAGCATCTCATAAAGGAAGCCGAAAACATATTGTCCAATTGTCTATGAACACTCACTTCTGCGGTATGTGTTTTTGTGTATCATTCAGATGTTATCTAGTTGACATATTAACCGTAAGACATTCTGGTGCTATTAAATGACTTACCCTGCTGCGTCAAGACGTTTGCAAGCAAAGTATCACCCCGATTCCAAGGTCACCTAGACTGCACCCTGTTAGTTCCCTCATTAACTTTGATCAGAATGGTTTAGAGACCATTGTGGCACGATGCACATCACACGTTTGCCCATCTCTGGTAGGAGTTGCGCGTCCCCACCCAGTCTGGAAAGTGCAAGTTGTGCAAAGGACACGTTTTCTCTGTACCCCTCGGCTGAGCCAAGAAATCAAGCCTCCTGTTACTCCGTCCATGGCAACTCCACCCTTTCCATTTTTAAACTCTGCCCGGAACTCTGGGTCTTCTCCAGGAAAAGCATGCTAAGAATACCTGCAGTATCTTACACAGTGGGATTAGGGTTAGTAATAATACATTGTGTAAAGTCGGGGAAAGGAACCTGCACAGAACAAGATAAAATGGTACCAAAAATCGCAGCCTGAATTTGGTTGACTCCACCTTTCCTGGCAGATTGTATCACTGAAGATGCAAGTGACAGGGAGAGGAACATAGGGACTGTACCAGACTGCATGCATCTCCAGATATGCTGACTTGTTCACTTGAGTATTAAAGGTGATGTCTGACTTGTAAGATTACCGTAAAATCAGATCGGAGACCTCCGAGAGACACTCCGGCTTTAATTAGATGAGGAAAGTCCCACCTGGCGGGTTCATAAGCCAAGGGGCAGAAGCCCGCACGTCATCAGAGCCTGAGCTGGAACTGCTCGCCGGCCTCCTGGCCCAGCAATCTTCAGCTCCATTCCTTAGCCTTCCTAACAAAGATCTTCCTACCATTCCTCGTAGAAACGAATCTTGCCATGCCTGTTTTAGGGTTAGCAGGTTTTCATGAAATGTTAAGAGGGTTTTAGCTATATTCCCTAAAGAAAATATTTTAAATGAAGATGCTTTCTAAAGTCTTAAATTTATAGCACCACTTTGAGTAAATCTGGGCATCACCTTTAGGGAAGAGATTGTTTAAGCTTTATTTCTGGCTTCCAAAAAGGAACAGTGTACAGTTTTTTAATGTTTTATTGCATAAATTAATTGGCTGATATTCAATATATTAAAATCATTTTTTAAAGGAAGAGGAAGAAAGTGAAACCTTTGGACTGAGCAGAGAATACGAAGAATTGATTAAATTAAAAAGGAGTGGCTCTATTCAAGCTAAAAATCTAAAAAGCAAGTTTGAAAAAATTGGACAGCTGTCTGAAAAAGAAATACAGAAAAAGATAGAAGAAGAACGAGCAAGAAGGAGAGCAATTGACCTTGAAATTAAAGAGCGAGAAGCAGAAAACTTCCATGAGGTACATCACCGTTATACTTAATGTAGTTATGGCACAGTCATGATAATGAGTTAAAAGAAGTAACATTGGCTTTGAAATACATTTTAGTACTTGCAATTAACCATGAGCGTGTGTAGTCATCTGGGAACTACATGTATAGCAAAAGCACAATACAGTCTTAAGAGACTTGTGAAATCCTTCCCTCTCTACCGTAGCACTGTTTTCAAATCACCTTGTCAGTGTTAGAGCTCTTTGCTGGTCAACTATGTACACACAGTAAGTGCTGTTTCCTAGGCAAAGGTAACTTTTTCATATAGTTGTAAAATTCCATTATATTCCATTGCCAAAGAAACTGTAAAAACTTGGTATAGCTGTATTAAAAAGCCACTAATTTTTTTTAAAAGAATGAACATTTAAGTCAGTACACTTATTAGTGTCCTTTGCAGAAGTTGCTATGCTGAGCAGTTATGGGTGGGTCTTTATTCTTAGATTTCCAGGCATAAGAGTTTTGATTTTTAAAAAATGTTTGGAACATAACTGTAAATAATAGTTCTACATGCTTTCAAAGTATGAATTCATGTGTTTTCCCAGCCCTCTGGGTCACCGACTGGGGTGCCTGGTGCCCCAATAATGGCAACATGGCATCCCTGCAGTGCACCTTGCAGAAAAAAATTTTTTGAGTTGAAGTCTCACTGTCACTCAGGCTGTAGGGCAGTGGCACACTCATGGCCACCCAAGTGTTGACCTGCTGGGCTCTGGCAATCCTTCCGCCTCAGCCTTCCAAGTAGCCAGAACTACAGGAGCATGCTTCCATGCCTGGCTAATTTTTGATTTATTGTAGAGACGAGGTCTTGCCAAGTTGCCTGGGTTGGTCTCGAACCCGCAGGCTCAGGCAATCCACTCACCTCGGCCTGGGATGACAGGCTAAGTCACCAAGCCCGGCCTGCAGCTTATAAAATTAAGCAAGGCTTTTGTTCTAAAGCAGCATAAAATGGTAAAATGTTAAAAAAAAAAATCACCTTTATCAGTGTTAAACTTACAGTGGAAATCAAATGGTTCACTCTGGCAAAAATGGCTTACCGGCATATGCTTTCGTTGAATTAGTACTCGACTTAAAGGGAGTTGCTCATACTTTCTTATGTTATAGGCAAAGCCCATAAAGCCTGTCTGACCTGCTGGAATTCAAAGCAATAATTCAGCAGAAGAGCCTAAGTCAGAATTCTGACATGAATGTTAGAACAAAACCATTTCTTTTAGAGAGAGGGTCGCACTCTGTCACCTAGGCTGGAGTGTAGTGGTATCATAGCTCACTGTAACCTCAAACTCCTGGGCTCAGAGGATCCTCCCACCGTAGCAGGAGAAAGTTAAGTTTGAAGGTGAATGGTCAAACCCTGGAGAACACGTTTTAGTGGATGGATGGCCTCAGTTCAGTTGAAATGAGTCTTTAGAGAGATGCGTCATAGAAGGAAAGAAAAGTTCAACCAGCATGCACTTGCCTCTTTTTGTTAAAGGAGTGAAACCTCAGAGCAGCCATACCTGTCGCTACAAAACATGTGGGTCAGGTACAAATGAAGGAAATAAAATGGCTTTTTGTTGCTGGAGTCTCACTCTGTTGCCCAGGCTGGGTGCAGTGGCACGTTCACGGCCACTGCAGCCTCGACCTGCTGGGCTCAGGTGATCCTTCTGCCTCAGCCTTCCAAGTAGCTGGAACCACAGGTGTGCGCCACACGCCTGGCTAATTTTTTGATTTATTGTAGAGACGAGGTCTCGCCAAGTTGCCCATGCTAGTCTCCAACTCCTGGACTCAGGCAATCCTCTTGCCTCGGCCTCCCAAAGTATTGGATGACAGGCTTGAGCCACCACGCCCAGCAGGGCTTCTTGTTTTATTGCTGTTACTCTTTGTATATAAATGGTTGTGACATTAGGACATGACTGAACTCCTATAACCCCTCAGAATGCCCCAAATGCAGTTTCCTACAGAGGACACTGAAGTCCTTATCACACCTTCCTGGATTAATAGTCACTGAAATAGCCTTCAAAAACTGGTTAGCCTATTTCTGGACCCCTAGAGCAATCCCCCCTCCCCAAATCTGACAGTTTCCTCTTGTAAAAAATGCCAGTGTTCAAAATGTCTTCGGAATGCTTGTATTCTAGACCTTTTCCAAGACAGAACTCATTTACCCCCTCCTAATCAAAGAATTCCATTCCATCTCCTGTGGCACTTAAATCCATGCCCCTCATTTGCTACTTAGGGGGATTTCTAGTATAAGGTATGCACCATCTTATGCTTCATTGCGTCTTGAGGAAGATACGCTGCATGACTGTGCTGCCTTCAGTATTCATGTGCTGGGGATATCGAAGCCCTGTTAAGAATGTACCCAGAGAATGAAGTTCATTCCATTTAATACAACCCTAAATGCAGATAGGGCAGCTAAATGAAGTGTGAATCTGGAAGGCAAGTTATTCACTGGGAGAGAGGGTAGCAGTAACTATATCAGCTGAAATGGTCTATCTTAAAGGTTCATTTGATAAGCAAAAAATGGAAGTGTGCTGTGTGAAGCTGAGTGCAGTGGCTCACTCCTATAATCCCAGCACTTTGGGAGGTGGAGGCGAGAGGGCTGCCTGAGCCTGAGGGTTCAAGACCAGCCTGGCTAACTCGGTGAAACCACGGTTCTACAATAGATAGGTGTGGTGGCATGCACCTGTGGTTCCAGATACTTGGAAGGCCGAGGTGCCCGTGAGGGTGCCACTGCACTCCAACCTGGGTGACAAGATTGAGACTTTGACTCAAAAAAACCCAAAAAAACAAAAAACAGGCCGGGCTTGGTGGCTCATCCTGTAATTCCGCGCCTTTGGGAGGCTGAGGTGAGTGGATTGCCTGAGCCCGTGGGTTCGAGACCCACCTGGGCAGTGAGACC